ATTTATTATAAATGTATGACGGATATATCTCAGTTAATATAAACTTTTTATTTTCCACATTAGTTATTTGGTATTGTAGTGAGTTGTTCACTAGAATTATTAATATTATTGTATTATCGGGTAGTACATTTCGTATGTTATCCTTGTGTATTAATTTATTTCTCGTTGTAAGCAACCTATTTTCTTTATTTTCTTTTACTATGTGTTTAATATATCTTTTGTTATATTTTTCTCTTCTACTACTTTTCTCATAAATTATTTGTCCTGGTTTAAAATCTTTTTGGCTTCTTTTTTATTATGGTATTCTAACTAACGTTCTTGGTTTTTTCTGTATTGTTTTTCACTTTTTCGTTAATTTCCTTTTGATTAAAACATAAGTCCACTGGTTTTTCCTTTATCACCGAATGAATAGTCCTATTATATTCCTTGACTGCTGAGAATATTTCTTCTTCCGTAGTTGTAGTTCTGTCCTTAGCTAAAGTCCTCGCGATTTCTAATATCGTTGAATGTAACCTTTCCACTTGCGCGTTGGAAGTTGAATGATTATTTGCTGTCTTTTCATGTTTAATTTGTAGTTTATTTAATAGTGCGGTCGTGTCTATGCCGACGAATATGCCTTCGTCATCGGTCCAGAGTTCGGTACAGTTCGGAAAAATTTGTGATAACACTTCTTCTATTATTTCATGAAAATGTAGTTTACTTCCTAATTTACGAAAATATGCGTATTTAGTAAATCTATCTATACAAGAGAGATAACTTTTGCCATTTATATAAAATATGTCCATTTGTACTGATGTGCCTGGAGTATTTGGTACTGGGCTTTTTCCTAATAATTGTTTAAATGGTTTCCTCTCATATTTATTCTCCGTGCAGTTTACACAATTTTTTACTACTGTCTCTGTGTCTTTTTTCAATGTAGGCCAATAACAAGTTTCTAGAATTTCTTTATAATTATTTAATGCGTTGCGATGTGCTCTCTTGTGTGTATACTCTAATATATTTTCTTTATCTATTTGCTATGTTATGTGTTTTAATTTTATTTGAGTAAATACTTTAAAATATGTTGTAAAGATATTAGCTATAGTCTCTTTTATCGTATGCCACGTTTCTAATGTTGAGTGAAATGCTGTCACTACTTTTGGTTTCATAATTTGTTTGAGTGTCTCTATTAGATATTCGTTAGTATTATATTTAATTTCGTAGCGTTCGTGTCGAGGAAAAATTGTTATCGCTGTTTTTTTCATTTGTGTCTGACTGTACTAGTTCTATCTGTGTTCTAAAAAAATTAAATGGTTTATTTATCATTTTTATATTCCGTAAAGCTGATGATTCAGCTGAATGCATAGACATGTCGGATAACATATATATTTGTCTTGGAAGTGCGTCTGCGACGACATTCCATCTTTTTAACTTTGTATTTGGATTCTTTTCCGAAATAGAAAATATTAATGACTGATGGTCTGTATAAATTGTCAAGTCTGCTATTCCATAAAGATAATTTCTTAATTTTTGTAATGCCCAAATGATTGCTAGCATTTCCTTTTCATTCGTTGAGTAATTCTGTTCTGTTGTAGTTAGAGTTCGTGATATAAATGATATGGGGTTTTTTCCCTGACTTAAAACTGCTCCTATCGCGTAATTACTTGCATCTGTTGTAAGATCGAATCCTTTCTCAAAATCTGGTTGATATTATTCAATTTTTTCTTTTAATTTCTTCTATAGCTTTTAATGCTTCTTTATCTAGTTTAATTTTTATATTCGTACTTTTATTTTTGGATACGCTACCATTTTCTCCTTTTAGATAAATAGTTAAAGGTTTGCATATATGTGCAAATTCTTAACAAACTTCCTATAATATGAGGCTAATCCCAAAAATTAACGTAATTCTTTTAAATTTTCCGGGGTCTTGTATCTATCTATCGCTTCAATTTTCGATGGGTATACAGTGATTCTTCGTTATTAATTATATGTCCTAAAAATTCTGTCTTTGTTTGAAAAAAATTAGACTTTTCTTCTGAGATTTTCATGTTTGCGGAGTGTAGTGTTTGAACTATATTTGTAACATCTTTGATATGCTGCTCTGGGTCTGCAGAGTAGATCAAGACGTCGTCAATATAGACATATGCACACTTCCATATATACTGTCTCAAAATATCATCAACGCATCGCATTCTTTAATTCAAACGGTAGTCTTAAGAATTCATATTTGGCTATCTTCAGGTTTGATCATTATCTGGTGAAATCCTGACTCCAAATCTAATGTCGTAAAATAGCGTGCTTTCCCTAAATTTTGTAGCGTCATTGTAATATCTGGTATGGGGTACCTATCTGCTATAGTTTGTTTATTTAACTTCTGGAAATCTATTACCATCCTTTTCTTTGGCTTTCCATTTTCATCAATTCCTTTTTTCGATACTGTCCAGATCGGAGAGTTGTATGAACTTTTACTTTCTTTAATTATGTTATTTTTTTATAATTTTTGAATTTCCTTCACTACGAAATCCTGATCCACGTATGGATAGGGGTATTGTCTGACCCAAACAGGTTCTTTGGACTCAGTCCTAATCTCTGCCTGAATCATAGTTGTGAAAGGTAGTATTTCGTTATTATAATTATTTTTCATTAAATTCTTTATATCATTTTCATATGTTTTATCTCCTATTGTATAATTAATTCTTTCTTCTTTTTTGTTTTCATTTATTTCTTCCTTTTCAAATGTTGCCGAATAGTCGAACAGATCTATCCTAGCTTTCATTTTCCTCAAGGAGTCTTCTCCTAAAATTATATCAAATTCCTTTAAATCTTCTGTCTCAAAAAATTCTAAATCAAACCCTACAAGGTTAATCTCTCGTTTGTGTGTAACTGTTGAAATCCCATGAAGAGTATTAAATTTGATAGGTTTTTCTAACTTGATCCTATCTGCAAAAGGATAACTTTTACTAACATAACTGCTCGTTGCACCAGAGTCTATTAAGTAAAGTGCATTTTTTATTGCCGCATTTCTCAATCCTGCTATGAACGTTCGTACTGCTTTTAATTGAACTTCCTTTGAAAGTACGTCGATCACGTTCTCGTTTTTGTAGGTCATCTCTATTTTTGAGAGTACCACGTTTTAAGCTTGATTCAGATGATCAAAGTATATATGTAACGGCTTCTCCGTT